TCCTTTTATTTGTTAATTTGTTTTTCCTTTTATTTATATCTTGTTGCGCTATTTTTTTTAACCGACGATCTGGTGAAGGTCGCGGGAGGTGCCTGGATGCGGGCAGCGCAGGACCGGTCGTCACTCATTTTGAAATTTAGAAACTACAAGTGGGTTCCTTTTAGAACGGAGTTGCTCATTAAGACGGGATTTCGCAAAAATTTAACCCCTAAGGGAGTAAGGCTGGTTTTAGTGTCACGCGGACTGTCAGTGCAGATCGCTCCGCACAGCCGATTTGTATGAACTGCTAGGGAGCGGAGCGGTTCCTCCGGACCGCATTACTCTAAAACGCTCCCTAGAAGTTCATACAGATTGGCCGTGCGGAGCGGGTCCGCACCGGACGGTCCGCGTGCCACTAAAACCAGCCTAAAACGATCCACGCGTACGAAGTCGCGGGAGGGCCGCTAGTCTACACTAATATTATAAAGAGGAAAACTTTGTTTGTTTGGTTGTAATGAATAGGCTCAAAAACTACTGGACCGTTTTTAAAAATTCTTTCACCATTTGAAAGCTACATTATCCACGAGTAACACAGGCTAAATTTTATTTTAGAAAAAAATAGGGTTTCGTCAAATATGTAGATAATGTAGTCCACGCGCGCGAAGCCGCGGGCGAAAAGCTAGTAACTTATAAATACACGCGGGTAAAGCGGAGGGCAAAAGCTTGTAAAGAAAATGCCGAAGCCAATTCCCAGAGACAGCAGATTATTGAAATTACATTATTATTAATAATAATACGCTTTAAGGAAACAAATTTATTGGGTATACTGAAGATAATAATTTATAATAATACATTAATTATCACTTTATTTCGTTCTCCACAATACCACATTGTGTTTCGTACGACCACGATTTAGCACGATATGCGGATAATACCCGTATACAGGGTGGAATTTTGTAATGCCACCTGGAGGGAAAGTACTCTTAATATTGCAGATATACATTTTTTCTCAATGAAAACATTCCTTTATTTTTGAAATGAAATAGAATTCTGCATTCAAAGATTTCCAAAAATTTGCTTGCCACACCCTGGAATCGAACCGACTAAAATCGGTTAAAAAAACACAATAAAAATGCATCGATCGTTAGGGTTAAGAATAAGGATGAAATCTCTCTAACAACTTGATAAATCAAATTTTAATGAAAGGAAAACCATGAAATCTTAAATTATTTTAATTATGTAGGTACAGAAAATTGTCTGTTATGGTTTGAATTTTCGATTTTTTTTCGGAAATCTTTGAATGCATTTCTTATAAAGGATTGTTTTCTTTCAGTAAAATGTTCTATCTACAGTATTAATAGTACTTTCCCTTCAGGTGGCATTACAAAATTCCACCCTGTATAAAAGAAGCGGCCGAATGTCTTTAGGACAATATTTTGAGCCGGAACACACAGCGCTTTGCGGCGCCGCACCGCTGAAATTTCACTGTACCGCTCGTGTTCCCGCCACAGATAAATATTTCTACAACCCAATCGAGTTAACTGCGCACCTCGCTGGAATGCGACTCTCCCTCGCACTCACCCGCACGCCTCCCCGGGTTCGCCGTGTCAGCACAGTATACAGGGTGTTAGGTAAATGGGTATATGAGCCGACACTAGCCCATGTTAACATATGCATATAAATGGTATGGTGAAGTCAGAAATTTGATATCATCATTTTAATTATACCCAAAGAGCATACGGTGTCCTGCGCACGCAATACAATAATGCATTTAGGGGGCTGAGGGGGCTGCCGAGACACTGCAGCGCATCCGGGATGCTAGCAGCGGCGCAAGTAGATAGCCTCTCGGCCATCATTAGAAAGCGCATCGCGTCCCTACTGCAGCGAGTACGGGGCAGCGCCAACAGCCTCCTGATGGCGGTCGCGGCGAGACTGGACGCGGACAGTGCTATTATGCAACACTGGACTCGCGTCCATCTCGTCAAAGAAACTAAAATATTATAATAATTTCAATAGTAATAATAATGTCTTTAATAATAATAATTAATAATAATTTCTATTATTTAATTAATTAATTAATACTAACATAGTTTTAAGCTTACATTGTTACTAACACTATATGGACCCTGGTTCGAAATAAACATATTTTATTTTTATTTTATTTAATTTTTTAAATGTTCATACAAAATAAAATTTATAAAATCAGATTTGTATGAAAATTAAAATAATTAAAATGATGATCAATTTTCTGACTTCACCATACCATTTATATGACCATGTTATTGGCTAGTGTCGGCTCATATACCCATTTACCTAACACCCTGTATATTCTACTGTGGTGTCAGTCCCAGAGCGTCGATGTGACGTCACGGCAGCCAGGTGCGCAGTTAACTCGATCGGTACGGCTAGCACGAAAAACTTTCGAGTTCGAATCGCCATCATAAGATTTAGTACGAAAACTACAACAGCGCCAGAAATGGTTGCACGAAACTTATTTTGAGAATCAAAATTGTCACGTTATCGTCTAATTCGAAGGTTAAGTCTCAAATTTTGTCGAATATTACGCAAACGATTCGAAGACGAAAGTTATTCATGCTAGAGATACGGGTTGTATTGACGGATTCGCTCTCAAGATAAAAAGTTTCTTAATCCTATTCTAACAATAAACCATGGCCACAGTACTGAGTAGCTGTTGTAGGGCTGAATACATTACTCATACAGTCATCGCCTTCCAGTGCAGTGTGTTGTTACCTAACAATGGACTGTAAAGTTCCAGTTATGTTCACTTATTTGGGAATTATAATAATATTTTCCACGTTCGGGCATGCCTATGCAGGTCAGTGTTATACCTACCGTATTTATTTAAATCTATACTAGTTAATATTATATAGAGGTAAAGTTTGTGTGTTTGTATATTTGTTTAATTGTAAGGAAGGGGTAATCTCGGGATCTACTGAACCGATTTTAAATATAGGTAATTATGATTTAAACAGTTGTGTGTAGTATTTTAAAAACCATTTCAAGCTAATTTTGACCCCTTCACAATTCAAAATTTCATAAATGTAGCTCAAACCACACTCAAACAGTGTACCTAATCGAAACTATATTGCAATTATATATTATACATTTACATAATATAGGACAGTATTACAACATAAGGAAAACATACAAATTATTTATCCTTATGTCTATTGCTGACTAAACATAACTAGTTAGTTAGTTACCTAATAATTCTTGTACACTTTAAACCATAATAAAAAAGGCAACTAGTGTTATTTCGAAACTTTATTTTATTTATTTTGTTTTATTATATTTACTTATAATATCATCACAATATACAGTGTGAGTCATGTTAAAGTGTACATATGAAAATAAATGAAACTAGACCTATTTTTATCGACAAAAAAGAGGTCAAAAATTTTTTGAGTTTTTTTTTAAATTTTTTATAGATTTTTTTTCTTCCAATTACTTATTGTAAAGAAAACGTAATAACTTTTAAACTAAGCGGTATATCCTGATAAAATAAAAACAGTAATAATGCTAAATAACAGGCGATACTAAAAAAATACATAAAATACACAAAAAAGGCCAGCAAATAATAAAAAATGATACGTTTTGACAAAAATCTGCTTTTAAATTCGTGTTTTTTTTGTTATTTGATAAATTTCTCCAAAAAATGCCCCTATAACCGGTAGTTTTTACTACTTTATATTATTCTCTATCGTATTACCTTCTTAAAACCAAAAATCGCAAGTCTGTATCCCTATCACAACATTTGCAATGATCGTTTGAACTAAGCCTCTCCGGGCGCGCTATTCAACGCTTCGTTAACAACGAAACTGAAAATGGCTCTAGATTTGTAATTAAGATAAAGACAAGTTAAATTTCAAATAAAAACAAAAGATTTCGAAGTAAAATAAGCACTTTAGTTAAAATTAAAATTTTCTCTACCTGCAGCGGAGAATAATGTTGTGGCAGGCCTTTGTTCAAACGCTCATAGTAAATGTTGTGATAGGGATAGAGACATGCGATTTTAGGTTTTACAAAGATAATACGATAGAGAATAATACAAAGTAATAAAAACCACCTGTTATAGGGGCATTTTTTGGAGAAATTTATCAAATAACCAAAAAAACACGAATTTAAAAGCAGATTTTTTTCAAAAAGTATCATTTTGTATTATTTGTTGGCCTTTTTTGTCTATTTTATGTATTTTTTTAGTATCGCCTGTTATTTAGCTTTATTACTGTTTTTATTTTATCAGGATATACCGCTTAGTTTAAAAGTTATTACGTTTTCTTTACAATAAGTAATTGGAAGAAAAAAAATTCTACAAAAAAATTAAAAAAAATCTCAAAAAATTTTTGACCTCTTTTTTGTCGATATAAATTAGTCTAGTTTCATCTATTTTCATATGTACACTTTAACATGACTCACACTGTATCATATTACGCTAAAAACTGAAATACCACTCAATCTCAGAAAAGATAACGCCTACAGGTAGGTTCTATAAAGGGTGTAGACATCCGCCACACATCCGGTAAGAACGGATACCCCTAAGGGGGTAATACAGGGTGTCCCAAAAAGTATCACCGCGACTTAATAGTTTTCGAGTTATGATTGTTTTACAACATACATGATTTTTAACTTTTTTAATTTACATTCGTGTTATGTATGTAAATACTTCTGAATCAGCTAGGCCTAGTATTCATCTAATAATAAATTAAAAAAAACTGATATGTACCTACCTTAACTATTCGCGCCACTGTGACCAAAAAAGTACCTAAGAAACAGAAATTTAAATCAATCATAACTCGAAAACTATCACAAGTCGCGGAACATACATGCGGGTGATTGCCCTAGTAATGCTCTACCTCTGGGCTTCGGCTTGACAATACTTTTTGGGACACCCTGTATAGTTTAAAATTGTGTTTTTCAGAAACTACAGTATTTAATATAGACAGCGTTATATCATTATATAAAAATCAAATACCTAAATGTGGAAACGATATAATCGTACGGGAGGGTTATACAATGAAATTGACTTTTGAATCTCAGAGTCGTTATGTTAATTTGGCATTGTAAGTATAATTCGATCTTTAAGGACGAAGCACACTTATCAACCCGGAAACGGAACGTAACCGTATCAACTCGAGGCGGTCAGTATTCTGTGTATGAAACTCCACACTGCAACGCACACTTATCCGCACCGTAACGTAAACGCCTCGCCTCGCGGCGAAAGGCGACACGGTGTTGTTCCCTTTCTGGGTTGATAAGTGTATAATATGACCTTTACCCATGAAACGGTTATTAAATAAATTTGAATTTATTTAAATTCTATTCTAGGCTTTTTTACATTATATTCTATTTCTGTAAAGTCTATAACTGTGGTCTTTGTATAAACTCGACTAACGATGGATTCGACCAAACAAGAGTAAAATTAAATATTAATATAATATACTATTTCTTTTCAAAAATAAAGAAATGTTTTCTTTGAGTAAAATTTTCCATGTACAGTATTATGAGTACTATCCCTCCAGAGGGCTGAATGTGAGTTTACATCAAACGCAAAAAAATGACATTAAATGTATGACGGATTGTTCAGCGCCCCTAGCGGAAACTTTCAAAGAACTAAAATTTTCACATATTTCTAAACGCGCTCACTAGTGAACGCGTTTGATGTAGACTCACACTCAGCCCTCTGATGGCATTACAAAATGACACCCTGTATATTCTGTGGTTACATCGACTAAATAAGTAATTATTAACATTGTTTTTATTTCCAGTTGTAATAATGAATCAACAAAAAACTTAAATGCGAAATTAAACATCTCGAATGGAAAAACAATCACATTTGTGAGTACCTACTTAATTCTATACAAATCACTTAAATCCAAAGTTTATTTTCAGCACTAGTTTAGTTACACTGCTTTCTGCAAGCTAGCATAATTATTAAAATATTATTTTGTTTTGTACTGAAATTTTGTTGAAAAACCACTTTTGACTAGAAAAATCAGTCAAAATATTATGATACTAGCTTTCCGCCCGCGGCTTCGCCCGCGTGGAATTTTGTCTGTCACAGAAAAACTTTATCGCGCGCGTCCCTGTTTCAAAAACCGGGATAAAAACTATCCTATGTTCTTTCCCGGGACTCAAACTATCTCTATGCCAAATTTCATCAAAATCGGTTGCGAGGTTTAAGCGGGANTTTATAATATTAGTTGGGATTGACCAAGGGCATCATCACTTTTAACTAATTTTTGCAGTCAAAAGTGGTTTTGACCGATAATGAGTATTGACTGTAACACATACGGGTACTTCTCATTTACACTCAAATTTGATGGTCACACAGTAATAGTTCATAAACGGTATAAGTTAGTACAATAACTTTGAAATCAGATGATGAAATATCTATTTAGCTACATACAAAATAAATTTTATCGTAATAGAAGCAAAAATAATACGAAAAAATCACATGAAACGATAAAAAACGGGGTCATTTTTCGCGTTCTCATCGTGTCACACCTTCGGTTGCAATGAAACATTTGGTTACTGCATTCACAATTTTCATTCAATTTGTGTGTATCATATACTAAAATCATCGTAATTAAATATACTTTCCACACAACAGTCAAAAAAATATCTTTTTATAATTATTTTGAATTGAGAAAGCGAAATACGTCGGTCACACGATTTTAGGTACCTAAAATTTTGAGTAATAATACAAAATTGCCGTTAAACCGAACACCAGCAACCAATCACAGCATTCTATTCGGTTAACGTCAGTCGCGCTTCGACCATTGGGGAGGTGAGATAAGTCGATCGTCGCTCCGCGAAAAAAATACGTAACTTTTTGTGATTATCCATAGACATACCGTCGCTTGCTTGAACAATATTTTCTACCTCTAACATTTAAACAATTTAATTGAAACTTTGCCATTGAAAACTCAACATGTTAGGCTTATTTGTGTTGTATTAAACTTGAACCGTTAAATTCAAATTTAAGGATAATTCATAAAAAACTAAAATTTTCGTCACCTTCGTGGCATCACCTTCGTGGTGTTTTATACACGAAGGTGATTTTAGGCCACGAAAGTGATTTCTTGCTTTGGTTTATTTTAAAATATAGTGACTGGTGTTTATGTTTTTACAATATTTTAATAACTAATAAATTATACGTGGTTGGTAGAGATCAGTACATCAATAAATAAATAAGGGCCTCGTATTTTTGTTGTCTGTCTGTATGTATGTCTGTATATGTGACTGTGTAGGTATCTGTTTGTAAGATAAATTTAATCTGAAGTTTGAGTTATAAAAGATTGGAATAAAAATTATTTTTGAAAAACAAGCTTTTAATGCGCTAAAAAGAATAAAATAAAATATAAATTGTTTCAAACCCATCAACTTATTACTTTACTCAATTTATATGACTAAAAGCTAATCGCGAGATTTACTTGTGCAAATGAGGAGAGAGCAACCCACAGGTTGAAAAACACTGATCTAGGCCAACGTACTCTTTAAGACGAATTAAATGAGCCCAAAGTCAACGGGGCTGTGTCGCTTTATTGCGGAGTTCCTATGGCCACCTTCCACTCCATCATCAGACTGGTTAACATATAAGTAGGATTGAAGTCATACTCGATGAGGTAGTGTCGCTTTAGTGCGGAGAATTCGTATGCCCACCTTTCAGCTCCATCATCAGACCCTAGTTATCATATGTGATTGAAGTGCTCGTCAATACGAATTACCAAACTTGACGAAGTTGTGTCGTTTTATTACGTAGTTATTATGGCTACCTTCCAGCTCCATCATTAGACCCTAGCTATCATTATAGGATTGAAGTTCTCGTCAATACGAACCAAATGAGCCCAAACTCGATGAGGTTGTGTCGTTTCAGTGCGGATTTCCTATGGCCACCTTCCGGCTTCATCATCAGACCCCGGTTACCATATAGGATGGAAGTTCTCATCAATACAAATAAAATGAGCCCAAATTCTATGGGGTTATGTCGTTTTATTGCAGAGCTCCTATGGCTACCTTCCAGCTCCATGTCATCATGATATTGCATTGTCATCCTACTTACACATGCATGAAAAATTTCAGCTCAATGGGAAACCGGGAAGTTGGTCAATTTTAAGTTGCAAGATTTGCCTACACCAGACATGTGAAAGTAAATAAAAGCTTGCAATAATAATAAAATACGAGGCCCTCTGGCCAAAATAAAAAATATATTTTTGTTCAGGGACTGATATGATTATCAGTCCCTGAAAAAAGAACTCTTACTGATGTAAGAGTTCTTTTTTATTGAGGTACTGATAATCCGTTTTTTGCTTCTTTAGCATTTCAGAATGCCACCAGTGGCACCCTTAAAACCAATTGCGTAGAATCTTGTAACTTAGTAGATGAGTTAATCGGTAAAATTGTATCTTGTATTTAAGTAGGTACCAATTTATATTATGTTCTTGCTATTTATCTATGAAAATAAGACAAAATATGTGATATATAAACTAGAGATGAAACGGATAGTTGTTTGGCCGGATACCGGATACCGGATATCCGGCGAGCTGCTAGGCCGGATAGCCGGATATCCGGCGGCCGGATAGTTGTCCCATTGTCATGTTGCATGTCGTAAAGAGTTTAGCGCCGCACAGGTGCTTCGATCAGTGGGTTTAGTAGACTAGATAAGTCACACTTTTCGAAAATCTAATTCGTTCGAATAGAATGTCAGTTTTTTTTTTTTTTTTAACACAGCGCCAGCTAGCCCCAAAGTAAGCAACTTAATGCTTGTGTTATGGGTGCTAGCTTAACGGATATACTACTTATATACTTTTTTTTTTTAAATACATAAATATTATACATAGTCACACCCAGACCCGTCACAGAAATTAAAATTCATAATTTCCATTTCTGCCCGGCCGGGAATCGAACCCGGGACCTCTCGGCATAGTAGTCCGTTCTGAACCACTACACCAAACGGCCGACACATTTTGCCACTCGTCTAAGGGGCAGATCAATTCGGGCGATTTCGGTTGCCATCGTGAGTACCTATGTGATTGAATAGCGAAAATTCAATTAGTTTACTTGGGGGGCGTCCATTAATTACGTGAGACAATTTTGGCTATTTTTTAACCCCTCCGCCCCCCTTGGTGAGATACTCACGTGAGATTTTCCCCTCACCCCCTAATATCACGTGAGATTTTCCAAAATGCATATTTGCAATGTAAATGAGATAATCCATGCTTCGAAAATATTAGATTTTATAAAAAAAACCCGACCTACGTAAAAAAGTTACCTGATTAATGATAAAACTAAACAATTTAGGCCCAGTTTTTTTAACTTTTAGTACAATTTTTAACTATTAGTTTACATTTTGTTAATATTTAAGCATTGGTAGCAAACTGCGGATCTAAACCCCCTTATGTATTCGTCATTAGAGTGAATAGCCCAGAAAGGAAATTAGTTTTTTGAAAGGCCTTAATATGGCTTTTTTGTAACTTTTTGGACTTTAGATAAAAACCGTCATTATTATTAAGCCATTTTATTGATATTTAACTCAAAGATTAATGTGTTTCATTTTATTATAGGAAATTTTCGTAGTTTTTTAATATCCGGTATCCGGCCGGATAGTGAGCTACTATCCGGTATCCGGCCGGATAGTAAATTTAGGCCGGATATCCGGCCTACCGGATAGTTGCCGGATATCCGTTTCATCTCTAATATAAACACTTAAGAGTAATTTACAGTAGTAAAGTTTGAAAAAAATATTGCTGTGAAATACAGAATCACTTTCGTGGCATCAAAAAATTCAAAACGTTAAAGCTTCCAAACGAGACTCACTATTTGACTGATTTACTGAGAATACAATCTTCACATCAAGCGCTACAATTTTTGTTTACAAAAAGTTCAAATAAGTTAGAAATAAAATTCGCCACGAAGGTGACGATGAGAACCGTGGCGATGAGAAATACCCATACACGACGAGGACGACCTAATAAAAGCGTGTTAATTAATAAAATAAACATTTTTAATATACTTTTTAGGATATTGTTGGCAGCGAGGAGTATGAAGGGTTATGGAACTGCTCATTTTTGACTCACATTGGTCATTACGTACGCGACAGTGTCACTTACGATGGGGAATATTATGCCCCTTACGCAAACTGCTCCTTAATGGTCAGAATAAAACGTAAGTATCATGCAATAATGGAATACCTATCTCAAATCCAGGTTTCGATTCCCAGTGGGTGCGAAATGTTCTACTCGGTTTGGTTGGAGGGCCTTTATGGTTCGGCCAAACCAACGCCATCACACGCGATCTGCCGGCGTGCAGCGATGGCGATCAATGCATTGTCTGGTCGCAACCTTCACGCGATGCAAATCCGCTTTATTCGTCAAAAGCCGACAATAGCCGAAGCGCAGTGGAGCACGAGCCAACGCTTGAGGAAACTCGTTCGAGGCTCGTAAAGGTCATAGCAGACTTATCAACTCGGAAAGGGACCAACATCGTATCGCCTTTCGCGCGCTGTCAACCGCGAAGCGAGGCGTTTACGTTACGGTGCGGATAAGTGTACGTTGCAGCACAGAGTTTCATGCAAAGAATACTGACCGCCTCGAGTTGTACGGTCACGATCCCTTTTCGGGTTGATAAGTGTGCTACGTCCATAAGTCGGTCCTTGACACGAATTTTGTCTCGGCTCGTGCTTGGCTCAACCACCTTAACAAATGCTCAAGTATATTTTATTTATTTATTTATTAAATAAATTCAATCTAGTCTGGTCTGCGAGCACGTAGAATTTTGTCCTATGACCACAGAATAATAATAAGTACTACGTACAGAAGTTTTACTTCGCGAAGGTATTTAAAAAAATGTATGCTCAATGTCAGTAACAATATAGTGTAATTTAGCCTGTCTCAAGAGTCAAGCACCATTTTGTTGACAAACGTCAGTGATCGGCACGACGCCGAAGCTATAGGGCTGACTTCGGTAAAATGATGTGACGTGAGGTGCCAAACTGCGGAAAATGGCGGAGGAAATACATGATTTAGCATGAATTATCATGAATAATATTAACTACTTATTAACCTCTCAGTGTCTTGAGGCAACTTAAAAAAGTACATTCTGTGTTTTTATTATTATTTAGGCAGTTAAATACTGCACAGTATTTAGTACACCATTTTCTTTATTTTCTTCCATCATACACAAGAATACGCGTGCGTGAGTCAATGTTCGCTCGTATGTGAGGCCTTGTCGAATAGTATCCTGTAGGTGGGCCATCGTGCGTGTTTTGTTTTCGATGTAAACTCGCGGAGATGAACAGGCCTGGTANAAAAGTACATTCTGTGTTTTTATTATTATTTAGGCAGTTAAATACTGCACAGTATTTAGTACACCATTTTCTTTATTTTCTTCCATCATACACAAGAATACGCGTGCGTGAGTCAATGTTCGCTCGTATGTGAGGCCTTGTCGAATAGTATCCTGTAGGTGGGCCATCGTGCGTGTTTTGTTTTCGATGTAAACTCGCGGAGATGAACAAGCCTGCTATGACCCCAAGCTACCCATCCTTATTGCTCGCGCGTAATTATTGCTGTCGCGACTGTGCGACGGGCGGCCGCAGTAAGTGTGCGAACGCGACAGCAACATAATTACGCACAAGCGATAAGGATGGGTAGCTTGGGTGGGGTCATTGGACAAAATTCTACGTGCTCGCAGACCGGGCTTTACTATATACTCTATTTAATGTTTTTAATAATATTTACAGGAGACGTTACTCTAACCGTATCCAGTACCACGACCACAAATTTGGTAACAGCCAATGCGACTGATATAGGTTACTACAGATTCATAGAAGGCAACAAAATTACTATTGAATGCAAAAAAGGTCACACGAACAGAACTTTTTTGCAATCAGAAAATTTGATCTTTAAAATTTGTCGGAAAGACAGTAAGATTATTTTTCTAAAATCTATATTATACTCTAAGATTTTAAACTTTCGCGTTCCATTTCAATTAATATAGTAAGACACGGGTCTTAACGCGACGTTTATTATGTCTGCTTGTGACCACGGCTGCAGCATCGCAGCCGAAACGTCAATCAAGCCGTGAGTACTGTAACTCATTAATAAACGTCGCGTAAAGACCCGTGTCTTACTATTTTAATTATATTATACTCGTACTTACTAATATTATAAAGCTGAAGAGTTTGTTTCTTTGTTTTTGTTTGCTTGAACGCGCTAATCTCAGGAACTACTGGTGCGATTTGATTTTTCTTTGTGTTCGATAGCTCATTTATCGAGGAAGGCTTTGGGCTATATAAATACATCACTCTAAAGTCAATAGGGGCGGAGCAGTTCAGAAAACTGTTACAAAAAGGTTTCCAATAATAACAGCATTATATTTGAAGATCCTGAACATACAATATTATTATAATACTATTGTTCAAACTATTTTCACGCGTAGGTACGAACTCGCGGGCACAGCTAGTAAAATATAAACAAAAATGTATGTATTTTGCTGTATTTTGTAAAAGGTATGCTAACTGGATATTTGTTATTTTAGAAAGTTGTGCAGATCTAAAAACAAATTCAACTTTGGTGAGAGATACCATGGAACTAAACAGTACTTTCGACGGAAGTATATTACACTGCATTTATAACAACTCGGTCGGTTACCAAACTGATGCTGAAATAGTATTACAAATAAAGGCCCAATGTAAGTTTTTTAGAGTTCATGCAATTCACGAAAGCGAGTGAGCTTTACATGTGTGGTTTCAAAAGTTGTATGTGCATGTAAGTACACACACAAGTAAAGCTAAAAGCCCGCCCCCCCCCCCCCTCCCCTCCCGTGCGAGACTACCCCCTGGCTTAGAACGACCATGATTATAATACTATGTACCTTTATGCCTTTGGGCCTCATAAGAAAGCTCAAGGTCACCCAAAAAGCAATGGAGCGTGCTATGCTCGGAGTTTATCTGCGTGATCGAATCAGAAATGAGGAGATCCGCAGGAGAACCAATATGACTGATTTAGCCCACAAAATCGCTAAAATCAAATGGCAGTGGGCGGGGCACATAGCTCGTAGAGCTGATGGCGACCATGAGCCGGAAGACGTAGCGTGGACAAGCCTCCCTCTAGGTGGACCGACGATCTGGCAAAGGTCCCTGGAAGTGCCTGGATGCCGGCGGCGCAGCAGGACTGGTCTTTGTGGAACTCCTCGGGGGAGGCCTTTGTCCAGCAGTAGACGTCTTTCGGCTGAAACGATGTACCTTTGTATTCCACAGCGCGTCCAGAGATCACAGTGGGAGGTCTTACAATCAGAGAACCGAGGTCATCGGAAAGTAAACATACCTTTGATGGAACAGTAAACCAAACTTTGGAATTGGTCTGCGCAAATAAAGAAAACTGGGGCAACATTCACTGGGAAGTTTGCTATGGATCTGGTAAGTTAGTGCATTTACATTTTAAGTAATTAAAGGTCATAGCACACTTATCAACCCGGAAAGGGATCAACGCCTTTTTCACGCCTAATTGAATAGAATAGAATTGAATAGAATAGAAAACTTTTTATTTGCAAGAAAGGTAAGACATAGATTAAAACAGAGAGAAATAAACAAGTGGACAATTAACTGCTTGTGCCCCTCTGTCAAAAAGGCACCCGCTCAGCGTACATCAAGACCGCCAGGGCTTGTCTTGAAACTGATTTTCAGCGGGGGCCCTCTGTTGTCACGGCGTACCCCTGCTGACGGAGATGCAAGAGGAGAAAGGAGTCCACAAGTCCGGCAGCAGGGAGAACGCAGCAGGGGGGTGCAATAGAAAAAGAGAAAACAAACAAAAAGAAATAAACAAAAAATCACCATAAAAATTAAATTAAATAATAAAAATAAATTCATTTTACATTAATTATAAATTACAATAATAATAAATTACAATAAATTTAGATTTTAATTATTAATCACATAATTAAAACACATTTAAATAAAATAAATTAGATTTAAAATACAAATAAATTATTAAAAAAACACCATTCCTTACTTAACTAATTGTTGCCATTGATATGTGGCCATAACCATAAGGCCTCAAGTTATTTAAAATCAATGGTAATTGCAAATAAATAAAATCGAACCCTTTGGAGTCTTCCTGTAACATGGCCCAATTTTAACTTGGTCCACAAGCCAAGTCGCTTGATTTAATTTTTTAATAGTAACTGGGCCCACCTTCAATGTTTTTATTAATAAATTAGACATCGAATCAACAAAAATCTTCTCTAGAATCTTAAAGTGGGCCCAGTTACTGGAAGAAAAAATATTTACAAATTAAATCCAGCGACTTGGCCCGTGGACCAAACTAAAGTCCGGTCGCCGAGCAGATAGAATTTCGTCCAATGACCCCAAGCTACCCATCCTTATCGCTCGCGTGTAATTAACGAGGGCCAAGGCACTGGAAGACTTTACAGTCATACAAACATTACGATAGTGTAAGTTAAATAAAAACTTGTACAGTCGCAGAATGAAAAGGTTCGTCACCTTAGTGTCGGTTTTCGCTTGCACTAGGTACTGTAAGAGTCGAACCTGCCAACATAACCGTGCAAGAAACAGTGCTTCTAACATTTAAATAAATATGACGTTTGCTAACAGATAAGGTTTTGCTTGTTTATTTTTCTATCCCATCAGTGCAATGCAATGATGACATTGACCAATTGACAATAGTTTTTTTTATTTAATAGAAATAATAATGGCAGGTTGAACCAACAAGAAGGTTTTACGGCCGAATACTGAAACACTACTCAAATCTGTCACTCAGCTGACGGGCTCCTAAATTTAAGTATCCTTCAATTTTAAATGGTATTCTCAAACGCTACTCAACGGATTTGAAGCCGTGATCAGCTAAGCAGCTCTCAAATGTTTACATAATGGCAACATTTACCAAAAAAAGTATGTTTTCATCACAGATATGGATTAGAGTAGATACAGCAAGTTGATCGTCAAAGCGTGCCATTCCGATATGTCCAAATGGACATACATGGTCGAGTGATGTTCATGTAATCCGATTACAACAATCGGTTACGATGATTTTACGAGGACAGTAGTACGAACACGGTAGAAAGAAGAAATTATTTACGGATTGAGAATTGTAATTAACAGCACAAGTAACAAATAATTAATTAGAATAAAGTAGCAGTAGAAGAAGTATAAAGTAGCATTGTTTTTAATACATATCCTGCGATGTACTCTTAAGAGTTAAAACCATGGTCCCTGTATGTGGTGCACTCATACCGATCCCAAGGAACCGTACTTACTCATAACAATAAGACACACACTGATGCATGTATTCATGCACTTGACAAATTTATGTCTTGAAACTCTGTCATCTGGAAGTGGTTAGAATTTGGTCTATAGGTCAGACATGTAGATTTTTGGACGTCAATACCTAAAGAACCGTTTGAGGCATATTTATGAAATTTGAAGCTGATGTATATCTTGCAAGTCTCAACACATGAGCCAAATTTGAAGTGTTAATGCACAGTAGTTTTTGAGTGATGAGGAGTCAATAGTGGCTCAAAGTGGTTCGTCTAAATATACGCACGGTGCAGTCCCCTCCCTGGAACTAGGCTTAACATGCTCCCGCATGTCTAGAATGATTGCTCAATGTTGATTTAGTCAATTTTCTCCTGATGGGACCATGTAAGACAAAAATAAAATTTCCAATATTACAGACCTTCTAGAGCAGATGCCGCGAAAACTATACAATTTATCAAAAAAGTTGACTATCTCACCTGTAGCAAATTGAATATGCTTGTTTTGGTTCATAGTAGTAATGTCAGTAGGACGCATAGTTTCCGAGGATTAAGCGAAAAACCGAAAAGTGGCACCTTTAAACCCCCCTCTCCCCGCCGGCTCAAGGGCTAAGGACGGGGACTTTTGCTATGTTCACCTCCTAACTAGTCTAAATAAAGTCCTGAAGTCAGAAATTGTGTTCTACAGTTTTCCATCTATAATGCTTTATTGACTGGACTATAATGCTTAGCGTTGAATGGCGTTTCAGTATGCGAAAATTCATTTAAGTGGCGTTTGAGTGCAACTTAATTTGAGAGGTGCTTAAAAATTGAGAACTGCTCAGATATTGTTTTGAGTATGCGAAATGTAAGTTTAGGAGCTGCTTAACTATTTGAGTAGCCGTCAAATATTTAAATGGCGTTTCAGTATTCGGCCGTTAGTTTATCAATCATAATAATCTTCTTGACAAGATAAATCGTCAAACAACTTTGATCTGGATAATTTTGAACTTTACTGACGAACAGTTAAAGATTATTTTCTCTAACTCGAGATTATTCTGTAACATAGTTTCAAAAGGTAATAATTATGTGCTCGCGATTCGTTGAAGGAATCAATTTGAAAACTGACGAACCTTTTCATTCCGTGACTGTACTTTATAACTCTTGTAACATAAAATATTGTTGACTATTAATTGAAATTACAGGTGTCAATTGCCAGTCACAAACACTCGCAGCTGATAAAATATTAAAATTAAACTTCACTCTATCGGCGAATAACAAAAATACCACAGTAAAATGTGTTCACACCTTCAATGCTCTTAGACAGGAGACTCCCGTATTTTTGTATGCAAATGGTGAGTAGGTACATAATTATGTTTTATTATAGTCTGGTCGCCGAGCACGTAGAATTTCGTCCAATGACCCCAAGTTTCCCATCCTTTTCACTCGCACGTAATTATAATTATTGCTCTCGCGACTGTGCGATGGGCGCCCGCAGTGAATGTGCGAGCGCGACAGCAACATAATTACGCGCGAGCGATAAGGATGGGTAGCTAAGGGTCATTGGACAAAATTCTACATGCTCGCAGACCAGGCTTTAGTGAAAGTTCATACAATGGATATTATAAAATAGGTAAAAGAAGATAAAAGTCTTATGCCCGATTTCACCATCAAACCCTAATTTTTAAGTGACCCCTATGAAAACATAATTCCTGTTATGTGTTACCATAGCATAGCATCAGTTAAAATTAGGGATTGATGGTGAAAACGGGCATTAGATCGCTGTACATACAGGTTGTCCCAAAAAGTAGTGTCAACCTGCACTAGACAGAACCACTAGGTAGAAAAATTGTGTTGGTTGATTTACTTGACTTAAGATCCTATGTCTGATGGGGCAGAGGGCGTCCACAACAGTCCTCCATCGCTTTCGGTCTTGAGCTTCGCGTTTAATCTCGCTCCAGGTCTTGCCGATTTACTTCGCCTCGTCTGCTACAATGCGCCGCCAAGTCTGGCTTTTTCTTGGGGGTTCCAATCCAGAGCCTGCTTAGGGATGTGATGCGCGAAGCCACAACAAGGGCTCTCGCGGAAGACCAGCTTTTTGACATGCCCTTACGAGTATGTCATGATTTGTGAATCGATTGTGAAAATAAACAAATCGGCTAAATTGTGTTAAATTTTCATGGTGCTCAATAGCAAAAAGGTTCAGCTACTTACATTATTTTCTTTTATTATATTGTGCGTTTCCTGTAATATAGGTAATCTAAGCACCCCTCCCTTAGACTAAAATTATCCCTCCTAGACAAGTGACAAAACGTGGCAGTTGAAACATTCGAAATCACTTCGCTCTGCCGTTTTTTGGTGTTAGTTACTTCACTCTGTGAATCGATTTTAAAATTACAACTGGCGATTCCGAATTCACAACTGAGGGGACTGAGGCTAATCGTGTTACTTGTGCTACAAGTGCGTATGGGCTTCATACTGATGCTTAAGCCATTAATTATTTTTCGTCCCGATTAAAATCTAATGTAATCGATAATCGCCTTGAGAATCGTTAACTGGTGTTTTCTAATTCGATTATCAAAATTACCCATCTCTAGTTTAAAACTGTCATCCAACAGCGCACGAAATACTATGAGTTGTAGATAATGATACCATTACAGAGGCGACACTTCGTTTACGTTTAGTTTCTGCCTATTGAATTGGATACTGTAAGGAAACATCGTCATCATCATTTTAGCTACTGGACGTCCACTGCTGAACAAAGGCCTCCTTTAATGATTTCCACATCGCCCACGCGTCTTCCTGCTATCTTTAGTCAGTCCATCTTGAGATTTTAGAAAAATTTCCATTCGTCACGGTAGGAACAAAGCTAGGGATGACCCACGCCTTCACTCCAGAAACTTTCTGACTTTCAGTTATTTTATTGTCTCTATTGTTAACTATCTCAGCGGTTGAGTACACGTATAATAGCTGTGAGGTAGAAGTTACGGGACTAATCCCACCTCTCCTTTCCACCGCTGCATCTCCTGTGTAGCTAGCACCTAGATTAGTTGATTTAAAGCCAAGGTATTTTATCAGTTTTTATGTAATGACTTAGTGCATCTAAAAATGTAAAACTTTCTAGTTTTTCTGTAACATTGAAAAATCTAAAAAGAAGCATCATTTTTTTACGTTCAAGTGTTTCTAAGAAATTTAAATGGAAGCTTTTGGTAAACTTTTTGATGACAACGTAGGTATTGCTTACTTTTTCAGCTGTCGAACGAATTCACTTTTATACTCATAGGTCCTGTACATCGGTAGATTTGGTAAATAAATGAATCCATCCGGACTCAGAAACTAAAAAAAATAAAATAGCTGTAATTTTTTAATAGTGGATTTGTCGATTAAATTGATCATATTACTGCGCCCTAACGGGTCGGACACTGGTGACCAGACACACTGTACAATTATTATAATTTTAGCTTATCTCGTGAGCTAGGTGTCAATAATTAGGGTGATTTACTAACTAACCAGTTGCATACGAACAACAGCAGTGAGATTCAAACAAGTTTGATCTATGATGCCGCACGACTATTGTGTGAGCTCACCCGTAACCCAAGCTTATTTAGCTTAACACAAGGGGCTGGACGGGACTATTAGTAATTTGTGCAATACAAAGTGCTTATAATCTTTAAAAAAATCTTTTTATTGCTGTATTTAACCTTCCTTTCGTTATACTAATTTATGCGTCAGTGTCAAGTCTGCGATTTTTATTCTTTGAAATTTTCGTAAAATGGCTGCCGCCGCGGTGACGCCTTGTAATTAACAAATTAAAATTAAATTAGTATTTTAAAGTGCATAAATGTACAACTTTAATGGTAAAAAGTCATTCCTTGATTTTTACTTAATATGTTTCTGGAGTTATTTGAACAGTATTTTCGTCTATAGGATGGCATATTTCAAAAAACAAAACTGCACTCAAGCGTGTTGTCACAGCAACCGCTAAGAACATACTAATTGAAGATCGGTCCGTGGACCTGTTTGCGTGCCAGAAACAGTCTATTAACATGTCTTCTCTAGTACGTAGTACATTATAACTCAATGTGTTGTTATTGTTTATAATTTGTGCTAACTGTGATCAATAAAGTCTATTTCTTTCTTTCTTTCTTCTAGGGCTATCCCAATCACCCCCATGTATGTTCCGCGATTTTTGATAGTTTTCGAGTTTCGTTGTTGATTCGGATAACCCTAGTGATGCTCTACCTCTGGGCTTCAGCTTGACACTACTTTTTGGGACAACCTGTATATTGGAAACTAGCGGCCGCCCGCGACTTCGTACGCGTGGATCCCGTTTTACCCCCTTCATCTATCTTACGCGGTTTAGATTTTTTCATACAAATGTTTTTTTCCCGCTAACTCCCGTTCCCGTGGGAATTTTGCAATATCCTGTTGTAACTAAGCTTTAAGTTTACTAAGGTACTTGCATGCCAAATTTCAAGCATCTAACTTAAGCGGTTTAGATTTTTCATACAAAAGGATTTTTCCGCTAATTCCCGTTCCCGTGGGAATTTATAAGTATACTATAACCAGCCCAGTAGTATGAAGAATAATTGTACCAAGTTTCGTTAAAAAACATACAGACAGACAGACAGACAGACAAAAATTTTACTGATTGCATTTTTGGCATCAGTATCGATCACTAATCACCCCCTGATAGTTATTTTGAAAATATATTTCATGTACAGAATTGACTTCTCTACAGATTTATTATAAGTATAGATAATGGAGGCTGAGACACACTGACAATATCCCAAAAGACACTATTTCGTCAGTTCGTCTCAGCCAAATGACGTCCACAGCTGGACAAAGGCCTCCTCCGAAGGTTTCCACGACCAAATTATGTATTAAGGCCGGGTTTCCACTAAGACGGAGCGGATAAGTGCTTTGCATAACCAATCAGATTTCATTATTTCCACATCTCTTCTCCACTCCGCTTTGGTGGAAACCAGGTGGTTTTAGAGTCACGCTGACGCACGCTGACCGTTAGCGCTGACAGCCAAAATGTATGAAGCGTTGGCGCCGAGCGATCAGCGTCACTCAGGAACGGTCCATTCAATTACATACATTGTGATCTGTCAGCGCTGACGATCAGCGAGCGGTCAGCGCGATTCTAACCTGCCTTAGAGTTCTGTGTCAAAACTGCTACTTCCTTTCAGAGCCACCAGTTCTTACAACAAAAAATGATATGATTTTAAATTACACCAGAGGCACAGACACTTACGAGTATGTCATAGAGCGAGAAGATGAGGAAACGATAAGAATCAAATGCAAAAATCAAGAAAACTCTGGCTCGCTGTCCTGGAGAGATTGCAACAATGCTGCACAGAGTGAGTTGAGATTAATGCAGTCAAGGTAACTGCGCACTTGGCTGCCGTGACCTCACATCGACGCCCAGGAGCTTAGTGTGAGTTTACGTTTTACGTCCTCACTAGTGAGCGCGTAATAAGACGACATTAAATGTATGACGGATTGTACAGCGCCCCTGGCGGAAACTTTCAAGAACTAAAATTTTCATGTATTTTTTAACGCGCTCACTAGTGAGGACGTTTGATGTAAACTCACACTCAGCGAGGTGCGCAGTTCACTTAGGGCTATATTTCACCGGGACACCATGGCGGCGCAACCAGTCGCCGCTACCAACAAAATGTATAGAGCTTTGCGCAACCAAACGGACACCAGGTGAGTAACTCTAGAGCTGTATACATTTTGTTGGTAGCCAGCGACTGGTTGCGCCGCCATGGTGTCCCGGTGAAATATAGCCCTTACTCACCTGGTGTCCNAACAAAATGTATAGAGCTTTGCGCAACCAAACGGACACCAGGTGAGTAACTCTAGAGCTGTATACATTTTGTTGGTAGCCAGCGACTGGTTGCGCCGCCATGGTGTCCCGGTGAAATATAGCCCTTACTCACCTGGTGTCCGTTTGGTTGCGCAAAGCTCTATACATTTTGTTGGTAGCGGCGACTGGTTGCGCCGCCATGTTGTCTCGGTGAAATTTAGCCCTTAGGGATGTGTTCTGGGTAAAAAAGCAAGATTTTGAATTAGTCCGTCAGATAAGTTTATGACAAAAGACTCGACATGTATTTTATACTTTTTCAAAATTAATTTAAAGAGATAAAGCGCACCAAAGTTCAAAAGAAAAGGCCCGTGACGTCAAGGAGTGCTAAAAGTGTAGCACTTTGTGACGTCACACGTAACTTCAACGCATCATAACTTCGTAATTACTTGTTTGATTGACAAGTAAAAAAATACGTATCCAATATTTTTGATTAATATAATTGACGGACTAAATCAAAGTTTTTTTTTCACGATTCTTTTTAAGATATCTTTGTCAAATAGATTGGCACGAACCACGTATCATTTTATTTTTTTGTTTTCAGAATCATGCACCAAAACTCAGGATATTTATAACAGATCAATAGAAAAAGTAATACCATGGAATTCTGAAAAAATCGAGGTATTTTTCTATTGCGTATACAAGAACAGCCGCAACTATAACGTTTCTTCCAAAGTAAATATTGTTGTACATCCCAGCATGTCTACCCGATGTAAGTGAACTATATTTTAATAATAATTAATAGTTTAAAAAACTAAAAACACGCTCTTAGTTTAGAGTTCTTATGGCCATGCCCCGACTGCGTCATCAGGACCTTGGACATCATCTAGCATTAAAGTGCTCGAAATGACAAATCAAACGAACCCAAACTCGATGCGGTTCCGCCGTTTCGTTTAGGAGTTCCTATGGCCACTATCGATCAACATGGAAAGCATTGGGGGAGGCCTATGTTCAGCAGTGGACGTCCTGTGGCTGAAATGATGATGATGGCCACCTACCAGTCCCATCACTAGACCAGTCAGTCGATGGAGTCAAAATTAAATTGGAGTCTACTTCGATCAACCAGGTCATCTTATCCATGAGTGATCAAAGGACGCCAAATTATTGCTTGGAGTCCAGTTTGATCACCTGGGTGATCAAAGCCAGGTGATCAAAGTGGAATAGACAGCCGGATAGACGAAGTAGCTAACGACCTGAGCAATCTCCACGTCGATAGCTGGCGAGAGGTGGCGCAGAACAGACCTTATTATCACCCGGTAAAGTTAACTGCGCATCTGGCCGCCGTGACGTCACATGACGCTTTACGGGGCGAACTCGGGGAGGTGTGCGGGTGAGTGCGAGGGAGTCGCATTCCAGCGAGGTGCGCATTTAGCTCGATCGGGCTGCGAATGGGAACTTTTATTGTCAGAAGCCAACACCTGCTTTGGGTCAAGTTATGTAAGACTTAGTTAGTTAATAAGGTTAAATTAAGGCATAGAAGAATGTTCTTTCTAAAGTCTGGTCGCCGCTCGCACACTTACTGCTGCCGCCCGTCGCACAGTCGCGACAGCAACATATCGTAATTACGCGCGAGCGATAAGGATGTACCCATCCAAGCTACCGCTTGGGATCATTGAAAGAAATTCTACGTGCTCGGCGACCGGACTTTACCACACAATAAATAGGTGCATTTAGGAGACAGGTGACTCTCCACTCCATGTGGATGTCGGAAGAGGCGACTAAAGAACGAAGCACACTTATCGTAAGGGATCAACACCGAATCCTTTCGCCGCGCTGTCAACCGATAAGTGTGCGTTAGTTGATAAGTGTGCGTCGTCATTAAAAAGGACAATGCGAATATCAGGCCTCCCCAACCCGTTTGGCTAGCGTGTACTAATTAAAGCAAACAATAAATAAGTAATTAAAATCGAAGTAAAAAATTACGACGACATCCAAACAAGTAACGTGGTTTGGAATTTTTGATATTTTTCGATTTACGTACGGAAGTTTTAATACTTAAAGTTAAAATAAAGTTGAGTACTACATTATGTTTTACTAGCGGCCGCCCGCGACTTCGTACGCGTGGATCCCGTTTTACCCCCTTCATCTATCTTACGCGGTTCAGATTTTTTCATACAAATGTTTTTTCCCGCTAACTCCCGTTCCCGTGGCAATTTTGCAATATCCTGTTGTAACTAAGCTTTAAGTTTAATAAGGTACCTACATGCCAAATTTCAAGCGTCTAACTTAAGCAGTTTAGATTTTTCATACAAAAGGATTTTCCCGCTAATTCCCGTTCCCGTGAGAATTTCGGAAATTACTTATTGTAACTAAGCTTTAAGTTTACTAAGGTACCTACATGCCAAATTTCAAGCGTCTAACTTTAGCGGTTTAGATTTTTCATGCAAAAGGATTTTCCCGCTAATTCCTGTTCCCGTGGGAATTCCTAAGTATACTATAACCTGCCCAGGAGTATGAAGAATAATTATACCAAGTTTCGTTAAAATCCGTCGAGTACTTTTTGTTTCTATAAGGAACATACAGACGGACAGACAGACAGACAGACAGACAAAAATTTTACTGATTGCATTTTTGGCATCAGTATCGATCACTAATCACCCCCTGATAGTTATTTTGAAAATATATTTCATGTACAGAATTGACCTCTCTACAGATTTATTATAAGTATATAGATGATGGTACGAAACCTTTTAAATTTGAATTCAAATTCAAATTCATTTATTTCACACATAAATACATGTCCATTAGATGTTAGTACATAATCAATTTCGTTACAGTGTCATGCCAGAATAATCTTTTCTCTCATTTGATAAAGTCATAACAATGTCAACAATAAAATCATACTAATCATTACAATTAAATGACAATTACTTAAAAGAACACACAACCAATATTAAAACATAAAATTTCACAATTATTTAATTCTAAAAACACTCATTTACAGAGTAGAAACATTTAGTAATATTACACAAACATCAAATAATATTCAGTACTTGGCTCTTTGCAGAGACTTGTATATTCTTGTGCCTTTCCTGTGCGAGTTCAAATCGACGGTCATTGGTCACTCCTAAAGGTATGATAGCACACTTATCATCCCGGAAAAGGTACAACACCGGATCGCCTTTCGCTGCGAGGCGAGACGTTTACGCCATATGGTGACAGAATAAATACAAATGAGATGAGTAGGTCATCTTCATAGAAACGCACCGCGCGCGGTTTGTATGTGAGCGCGCCAATATACGTATGCGGCGCGCACGCACACACTGACAAAATTTTGTGGCTATTAGCAGGCCTCCGTCACTCGCCTATGCCGGCCGAGATAATTACCTACAGCGCGCGACAACTTCAAGTTGCAAATCAGTCAGGACCGCCACGCGCCGTGACGCGCCTGTGAGCACACGCGTATTTCTATACACGCTCGGTCGATCATCGTTGAAATCAAGGTTTATTGTTCCAACAGCACTGTTATTCTTCTTTAATGGAAAATCGTAATATTTAGAAATAATAATTAACTGTAGTGATTTAAATAATTTAAAAAACTACACTTTTTGAATAATTTTGAAATACTTATGACAAAAAACTGTAGCAAAAAAAATATTTTACCAAATAAAAACATTAACTTTTACTTTACCGTGTCTGTTTTCCGACACTACACCTTTTAAAACTGTTTGTCCAATATCGAATTATTGTAACACTGAAGCTTATTAATAGGTACTTTAGAGATGGTACGATTATACAAACACCACTAGATTAAAGTTTACCAATCGTAAATACAATAAATGCTTCTTAAAATTAAGTTTTTATTTATTTTACTTTGCTTATACAACCCTGACGCTTGAGCTGTGAGGTAGATCAATTCTGAACACAAAAAAATAGCGCTCTTGTGAGCGTAGTAGTAAGGTGCGATTTCGAATGCACCATGTGCGTTGGATATTTTGCATTATTATTATTACCGTTAAAATGCCGGCATCTGATCCTACACAAAGGAGTGCAATTTCTGTTGCTACTATTATGTATTCTGTGCTATTAGCGGGGAGTTGCGCCGAATTTTGTCAGTGTGTGCGTGCGCGCCGCATACGTGTATTGGCGCGCTCACATACAAACCGCGCTCGGTGCGTTTCTATGAAGATGACCTACTCATTTGTATTTACTCTGATGGTGATCCGCATTGTGCGTTGCAGTTGCAGTACGGAGTCATACAAAAAATACTGACCGCCTCGAGTTGATACGGTTCCGATCCGTTTCCGGGTTGATAAGTGTGCTTCGAGTTATACCTACGTGAGTTATCATGAAATCGACAATTTTCGTATTCGTGATAGATTCGAATTAGCAATCGCGATCTTTCGGGTTTAAAAAAGAAGACATTTCTAAATGTTTAGTTCATAAACACATAAACCGTTCAAGGAGCTATCCTAAACAGTAAGCAGTGAGTCTTTCCATATTTTTATGATCTAATGCAGTGTTTCTTAACCTGTGGTCCACGGACCCCTTGGGTCCACAAGCATATGTCAGCCTTATCTATGGGCCATTTAACAATCATAAATAAATGCCACCAAAGGTCTTGTAATCGAAATTTATTGCTGCTACTTCAAATTGTGCTTGATTTTAACCGCCTCTGTGGTCTAGTGGTAAGACCACCTGCTTGCAGAAGTCCCGGGTTCGATACCCAGTGGAGGCAGTTTGGATGGTGGTAGGGCTTGTTCTAAGTCCGCCTGGTTAGCTACCACCATCTTACCTATGTCTGTCGCTATAACAACAATGTTAACAGCATTGTTGCGTTCCGGCAGTTAGAGGTAAGATAGCCAGTTCCTCTGTAAGTAGTTGGGGAATCCGGATGAAGCTCGCTTCTACCTTAGCTTCGGCCTAATCATCACTTACCATCAGGTGAGATTCAGGCCAAGAGCTTTCTCGTTGTGAATAGAAAAAAATCCTGGGGTCCGTGGATAAAAAAGATTAAGAAACGAGGTCTGAATGAATAGTTGATGTATTGGATGATTTTTATACATAATTTAGAAATGAAATTCGTTCAATAGCAGTTCGAAGCGTTGATGAGACTACAGTGATCCAGATGTCTTCGGATTCGGAGTCATCGACAGATATTATTTTTGAGGGAAAAATCGGTGAACGTAGATCTTATGATTGTAAGATTAAACATTGGAAAGAAACCAGCACAGTCCATTGGGAATTTTGCGATGAATATGGTAAGCTTAAAGTTGTTTTATAAAGTTTTTAAACTTTCGATTTTTTGTTTGAAGTATCGACCGATAGCAATGTGCGCTAACCAACTTATCGCCAAGGAGAGGCAATTTTTGTACAACACAAAATCGATTCATTAAGATCAAATAAACTTTATCTTTTCCACTTAAATTTGCGAAAATATATCGAAAATAATCGTTATGTATTTAACTAAATTTTAATGATCTTCCCACCCTTTTAAATTCTTTATTTGATGCAGGTCTGAATTGTAGCTGTTCAGATGCAAGATTTGAAAGGCTGTCACAAAACATCACTTTGGCAGAAGGATCCAATGGTACCATAGCAAAATGTGTACTTTCGTTCCATTACGATGATAGCACTTATGAAAAAACCATACGTTTATACGCATATCGTGAGTAGGTACAATATTAATTTTATTATATTCTAGTGGAGCGTTGCAACTTTGACACTGGCCACTGGCCCATTTATTGTCCCACTAGCTGTGCCCCACTGTGTTACCCGCGGTAAGCGTAGCTTATGTGTTAATCCAGGGTGTCAGCTAACTACATACCAAATTTTATTAAAATCGCTCCAGCCGTTTAGATGTGAAGAAGTAACAAACATACATAATCACGTTTCGCGCGTTCGTTGAACTAGCTGTCAAAGTGACACCCCGATACTGGTTTGTGCAAACAGCTGAATTTCGTTCGTTGTACAGTTGCGTTGCAGTTGAAAATTATTAGCGCAATTCAAGCTCTGGGTCTGAGGCCAGAAAGAATGTAATTGAATGTTTCTTATTTTAGACCCACCAAAGCTTACAAATAAAGATGGCGTAGAATTCCAATCCTACAACTCAGACTACGTCGTGGAAGGAACTGACGGTGAAAATATTATAATTAGATGTTTCAATAGACAATACACTGGGGTCTTGTTTTGGCGGACGAGTAGCGATACTACATCAAGTAAGTTTGTTTTAACAAGCAGATGGCTGAGTGTGAGTATACACTAGTGAGCGCGTAAAAAATGGCATCAAATGTATGACGGATTGTACAGCGCCCCTAGCGGAAACTTTCAAGAACTAAAATTTTCATATATTTTTTTAACACGCTCACTAGTGAGAACGTTTGATGTAAACTCTCACTCAGCTCTGTGCCCGCGACTTCGTACGTTGAAAACATAGGACTTTCATACTTTTCAACCCCCGTTTTGTCAACCCGGAAAGGGATCGTAACCGTATCAACTCGAGGTGAAACTCCGTAGTACTGCAACGCACACTTATCCGCTCCGTAACGTAAACGCTTCGCCTCGCGGTTGACAGCGTAGAGGAAGGCGATACGGTGTTGATACCTTTCCGGGTTGATAAGTGTGATATGACCTTACCGTGTGCCGTAATGTCAATGTACCTTTATTTATTTTTTCAGAATTATGTGAAACTGAAGACGGTACAAAATGTAATATGATTGAAAAATCATTTTGGTTGAAACCAGATCTTAATGGGACGCTTTTGTATTGTGTATTTAAGACTGATCGCGGACATGAAATAGCTACTAAGGCTACATTTGTGATCCACCCTAAAACTCAGAGTAAGTACCTATAAAGGTCATAGCAGACTTATCACCTCGGAAAGGGATCAATGTCGTATCGCCTCTCGCGCGCTGTCAACCGCGAGGGGAGGCGTTTACGTTACTGTGCGGATAAGTGTGTTGCAGTAGGGTAAGGTGGGGCACAATGTTACACGGGGCACAATGTTACAATGCACTTTTCTCCGTCCCTTTCTATTAAATGTATGATGTTGGTATACACGTATGTATGTCAAGCTCATAAGCCGCCATCTTTGAACCGTTGTTCCTGCCACAGTTTGTACCGCTCCACAGTATGTTATGAGACTGTATAATCGGACATTCTCATTGATTTGATGAAACGTATAGAGCTCAGTTATACAAACATGATAGTAAAACTCCCGTTTGAAAATTCCAAGTAGTTTTCGCGGTATAAAATTTCAAAGTTACCTATTTTTTTACTTCAAAATTATGCAAAAATATTCTCACTCGTTAAGAGCGTTTACGTCTAGCGTGGCATGTCAAGTTTAGGTAATTTCGATGCTAGTTTTATTCACACTAAAATAATTATGACTGTGCGTGTTCTCACGCTCTATAGTCAAACCAAAATACTTTGATCCACCATCGTAAAAGTGTGCCAGGCTGTCAAGTGACAGCTCAAGGAAACTATAAAATCTTCAAATCTTCCAACACCGACTCCATAATTATAAATAATGGTATACATTAGTCCTAATCAATAATAAATACGTAAATTCTTTATCAAATAGTAAATTATCAAAGGTTTTTTACTATTTTGAGAATATTTTATACAGCCTATGTTCAGCAGAAAATTTTTTGAATTTTAATGGTGAGAGATTTTTTCAAATCGGTTCTATTCAAAACAAACTTTTCCTGTTTACTATTCTTTTTTTATCCGGAAAATGCATAACATTTCATACCCACCAGCTGCGGGGGCAGCAAATGTTTGTTAAATCGTTTTCACAGTATTTTTATAAAAATTTCAGCTTGTAAACTGACGCTAAAGTGGAAATTTACAAAACCTTTGTGGACTTATCTTGATAGAATTCTTAAATGCTAAACTAATCGCAATATTTTCTCAATTAACTATTTAGGCGACGAAATTGCCTAACTATTTATGCCTATAACATATTTGTAGTATTACTGGTTAATGATTGTAACGAGTTGAAAAAGTACTGTTTTTGCGCCAAACGGCGTAAACGCTCTTAACTAATAACATTTAATTCAGAATTGTTATAATACTTCATAGAGCTCTTAAAACTACACGTAATAAGCGTATTAAGTGCTTCGTAAACGCATTCAGTTAATTAGGAAAAATGATTTTAGTGATTTTTGTTTTTATTTTTTTTCTCAATTATACCTTAATATATGCAAACATTTTTAATTACAAGATATAGTCTGATATTTAATCTAATTGTATAAAAAAAATCAGCTTTAAATTCCGTGATATATTTGAGGAAACGTAATTGGCTTCGGCTTTTTGGATCGCCATCGGCGCCTTCGGCGCCTTGGCGACCAGCCTCAGCCGCTCCAGCTCGCCCGGGCGCCTGAGCCTCGTTACGCAAGGGCGGAAGGGCTGCACATCCCGCAGCGCCGGAGACGAGGAGATACCAATGCATGCTGCATGCTTGCTTTCATGCTGCATGCTCTGCATGTTTATCTACTCTATTAAATTATATTATATGATTTTTTTTAAAGATACGAGTAACTATGTCTGTTATAAAGTAAATTATTCTGAACAACAACATTATGAGTTGAAGTAGGTATGTTCTTAGTGACAACATTATTAATTAAAAAAATATGATCAATGAATGTTATGAAGAAAAAAGATCTGAAACTAAAAATTATGTATTTTAAATGGTTCTTGGTAGTAACAGTATTGATAAAAAAATTATGATTACTAACTGTTATGAGCTCCGATGGTAGTAATAAAAATTTATGAATAAAAAAAGTATGAAAAATAAAATTATGAAGAGAGATTATTATGAACACAAATCGGTAGTAAGACAAAGAATAGGATTTAGAATTTTATGTGAGCCAATATAGAACCATTTAATCATTGTATGCAAGTACCTCAGTTTGTATAGAAAACACGCGCGACACAACAACACACTGACAACGCGTCTGCGCGCGGGAGTCTTTATATGTAGCCACGCGGACCGCGGCGGAGCGCGGTGCAGTGTGATAATCGTCTAACAATCCGACTAATACTATCGGCCGAAAAAAGTAGTCTGTGTGGTTAATCAATCAAATATGACTTTGCGACAGAAAGCTAAGTTTTCATTAGTGCGATTTTGCAACAAAAACGATTGGTCGACGCCATAGAGATATAGAGAGATGCCAACTAATGCGCTGAGTTCGAAACTCAGTGTCGCATTAGAAATTGACACACACAAAGTAATCAAAGTATGTGCTCATTATCCTGCTACTGCGGTATGAGTACCTACTCAACGTTCGAATAATGTTTAGTAGAGATGAAACGGATATCCGGTAACTATCCGGTAGGCCGGATATCCGGCCTAAATTTACTATCCGGCCGGATACCGGATATTAAAAAACTACGACAATTTCCTATTAATAAAATGAAATACATTAATCTTTGAGGTAAATATCAATAAAATGGCTTATAATAATGACGGCTTTTATTTAAAGTCCAAAAAGTTACAAAAAAGCCATATTAAGGCCTTTCAAAAAACTTATTTCTTATTCTGGGATATCACTCTAATTACGAATACATAAATAGTAAATATCTGTTAATGTCGAAATATTGCCAAATAAGAAGGCGATCTTTATTTCGCTGATGGTCTGATGACATGATGCATGCAGTTTAGTCAGATTACGCAGCAAGCAAACTAATTTAATTTTCGCTATTCAATCACACACTTTCATCTCTAATGTTTAGTACAACGCAAACAATGTAAACTGTTTACATTATGACGTCTGGAGCAATGTGTTCTGTTTTTGGGCATATTGCTGCGACACCGGCCCGCCCCCTTTTCACATCTCCCTTTAGTTTCTGTGATCTGTGGTCGACACACTATGGGTTGCAGTGGTGGCATAGATATAAGGTTTATTAGTTTCAGCACACTTTAGCCAGTAAAGTAGCGCCATCTAACATTAATAAGTTGAACTACAAGACGAGGCTTTTAACAATGTAGACGTTAGCAATCTATCCTTCCTTATTTTGTTTATCTATGGCGGTGGGAACGAGAGAATATCTATCTAACATTAAACATATACCATAATTATTATGATATACTTAATAGAATAGGTACATTTTAATTTATTGAGTGAAACAAAATCAGTAGATTATTACGACTAAACTAAATAACTAACTAAACCTAAAAAAATCCTACTAATATTGTTTAATACTCTTTCACGCAAAAACTACTGAACGGATTTTGTTGAAACTTTTCAGTATTATTGTTTATAACCCAGATGAATATATAGGCTATAATTTATAACGGTATGTGACAAACTAAAATTCAATAAATAAATAAGACGTGGGTAAAAAGCGTAAATCTATCGTCATTGGTTAAAATCTACAGCCAAAAAATTTTGTCGTTCGTAAATATTCACGCGGGGGAAGCCGTTAAACGCCATCTATCAACATCATTAGTAATTAAACGAGGTCCACGCGTACAAAGTCGCGGGCGGCCGCTAGTTATAATATATAAATCTTTTTCATATGCCTTAATATTATTATATTGATCCTGCTATAGGAAGTAAGGAGATAATATAATAAAGGAGGGCAGCCCCCTAGCAAATTAACCATATACCTAGTAGGTACCTACCTACCTTATGTTTCACATCAAACGCATTCGACATCGCCTGCTTTAAAATATATATGAAAATTTTAGTTTTTGAAAGTTTCCGCTAGGGGCGCTGTAAAATCCGTCATTATTAATTAATAATGACGGATTT